ACAGAGAGAGAGAGTTCTATTTGTTGTAGAACATGGAAAATTTATTCTTTCAGGGTGCTATACGTTAATTGACATTCTTTTGGGACAGGTTCCTTTGAAGCAAGCAGCAATGTGAACATATTTTATTCCGTTCGTTTGTTTAAGATGATAATTTCAACACGTTATATTTAAAAGTACAAATTTTACTTGTTCTCCTTATCTTATACTTTAAATATACTTTATCTTTTTAAAATTTAAAATATTCATATAATTCTCACATACTTTGTAAAGTAAATTATAATCCAAATAACTTTCACATGTTTTGCGGAATAAATTGGAATCCTAATTATGTTAACAAAAAAAATAAAGGGTTAATTACAAATTATATCCCAAAAAATCATTCGAATATTAATTTGTACCCTCAAAAATCAAAAATTTTAACTTATACCCTAATATATAAAATTTTGTATCAATGTGTACCTCCAAAGATAAAAAACCTCAATTTGCAATCTCAAAGATAAAAATTTATATTAATGTGCATGTAAAACTAATCGCCGTCAGTTTACTGCCTAAAATTAAATTGATAAAATTATACTTAAATTTCCTTATACTTGTCACTTAATCATTTGAACTCTTTCACATTTAAAATAGTACTCATATATCTCATAACGTTTGTCCACGTGTAATACGTAACCCTTTTTTCGTTAATATCTGTTAATATATCCATTAAAAAATATAATTTTATCTTAATAAAAAATTATAATTTCATATTACCCTTTATTTTGTGAGTCTAATATACTCTAAAGTTTAAAATCAAACTTATCATTTGAATGTTCAATATAATGTAAGTATTTATATAATATTTTTTATATGCAATGTAATATATCATTTAAACATAATTATTTGAATGACCAATTGGGGGGATATTTTAGATTGAGAGTATTTTTATTAGGATTTTATAACCGTTAAAAAATATGATTTTATCCTAATAAGAAATTATAATTTCATATTATCCTTTATTTTGTGAAGGAATCTAAATGATTAAGTGATAACACATGAAGAGATCTAGATATAATTTATCAATTTAATTTTAGGCGACGACAGTTAATTTTATGTGCATATTAATACAAATTTTTATTTTTAAGGGTATAAATTAAAAATTTTGATCTTTAGAATTGTAAATTGAGATTCGAACGCTTTCGGGGTGTAATTTTCAATTAACCCAATAATAAAATGGTCTTAATACCCTTCCCAATCTCTCTACAAAAACATATCATCCCCTTATTCTCAAACAAACATGTCAATTTCGAAGACTCAAACTTGCAAATTAAAGGAAGAAAACAAAAAAGAGACAACGGAAATTGAATTCACTCCAAAAGCTAAACATAGAAAATCAACAAAAAAATTGAATCAACACCTTCGCTGCCGGTAGCAGGTAGTAAACTACCACTGTCCAAATGCTTCCATGTCTGCGAACAAATCTCCACCACTGCAACTCAAATATAGTGAGGCTACGTGAATGGAGTTTGTCCATAAAATATGTGAGGGTCATATGACATTTTTAAATTCAAATATATTTGGAATATAACATAAGGAGTTGAAGTGAAGTTTGTCCAATTTAAAATAGGAAAATTTTTATTTTGTCCCCTAAAAGATATAAAAAATCTCAATTTATCTTATGAATGATTAACTTTTCTATATTGCCCTCTTAAATANTACGTTAATTGACATTCTTTTGGGACAGGTTCCTTTGAAGCAAGCAGCAATGTGAACATATTTTATTCCGTTCGTTTGTTTAAGATGATAATTTCAACACGTTATATTTAAAAGTACAAATTTTACTTGTTCTCCTTATCTTATACTTTAAAGATACTTTATCTTTTTAAAATTTAAAATATTCATATAATTCTCACATACTTTGTAAAGTAAATTATAATCCAAATAACTTTCACATGTTTTGCGGAATAAATTGGAATCCTAATTATGTTAACAAAAAAAATAAAGGGTTAATTACAAATTATATCCCAAAAAATCATTCGAATATTAATTTGTACCCTCAAAAATCAAAAATTTTAACTTATACCCTAATATATAAAATTTTGTATCAATGTGTACCTCCAAAGATAAAAAACCTCAATTTGCAATCTCAAAGATAAAAATTTATATTAATGTGCATGTAAAACTAATCGCCGTCAGTTTACTGCCTAAAATTAAATTGATAAAATTATACTTAAATTTCTTTATACTTGTCACTTAATCATTTGAACTCTTTCACATTTAAAATAGTACTCATATATCTCATAACGTTTGTCCACGTGTAATACGTAACCCTTTTTTCGTTAATATCTGTTAATATATCCATTAAAAAATATAATTTTATCTTAATAAAAAATTATAATTTCATATTACCCTTTATTTTGTGAGTCTAATATACTCTAAAGTTTAAAATCAAACTTATCATTTGAATGTTCAATATAATGTAAGTATTTATATAATATTTTTTATATGCAATGTAATATATCATTTAAACATAATTATTTGAATGACCAATTGGGGGGATATTTTAGATTGAGAGTATTTTTATTAGGATTTTATAACCGTTAAAAAATATGATTTTATCCTAATAAGAAATTATAATTTCATATTATCCTTTATTTTGTGAAGGAATCTAAATGATTAAGTGATAACACATGAAGAGATCTAGATATAATTTATCAATTTAATTTTAGGCGACGACAGTTAATTTTATGTGCATATTAATACAAATTTTTATTTTTAAGGGTATAAATTAAAAATTTTGATCTTTAGAATTGTAAATTGAGATTCGAACGCTTTCGGGGTGTAATTTTCAATTAACCCAATAATAAAATGGTCTTAATACCCTTCCCAATCTCTCTACAAAAACATATCATCCCCTTATTCTCAAACAAACATGTCAATTTCGAAGACTCAAACTTGCAAATTAAAGGAAGAAAACAAAAAAGAGACAACGGAAATTGAATTCACTCCAAAAGCTAAACATAGAAAATCAACAAAAAAATTGAATCAACACCTTCGCTGCCGGTAGCAGGTAGTAAACTACCACTGTCCAAATGCTTCCATGTCTGCGAACAAATCTCCACCACTGCAACTCAAATATAGTGAGGCTACGTGAATGGAGTTTGTCCATAAAATATGTGAGGGTCATATGACATTTTTAAATTCAAATATATTTGGAATATAACATAAGGAGTTGAAGTGAAGTTTGTCCAATTTAAAATAGGAAAATTTTTATTTTGTCCCCTAAAAGATATAAAAAATCTCAATTTATCTTATGAATGATTAACTTTTCTATATTGCCCTCTTAAATAAATAAAAATGTTATAATATGGTCCAAAAATGTTGCAACTTGCTTNCTCTCTGTCGTAATAGCCTGACCAAAAAGAAGTTAGATTCTATTCATGTTCTGCAGCTTGGAGTGTGTAGGGCGAGAAAATATTCAGTGAATATTACTCATCACATAACAGTATTATGTGGTGTATACATCTAATGAATAAAGCATCTCATGAGACACACAAGTTAATTTTTTCGAAGAAAAAAATAATTAACGAATAGATGTGTTAGACGTTCATTAGAGATATACAATTTTTCATTAGTAATGTACGTCACATGACATTTGTCATGTGTTAAATTCACTGAAAAATTTCTCATGTATAACAGTCAAAGAAGCTAGTTTGTGCGTAACTAAATTTACATAGAAAATACCCCCATTCGGATTAGGAATTCTAAACCATAAAAGACACCCCAATAAACGGAAATGTCAAAAAGAGTATTTTCTTCATATGGATTCAAACAAATTGACTCACATGAAACTCATAGTTATGAAATGAGAGGTGACACAATTGTGGATTGCAATGTTCTCCTTCAATCTCCACCATATCCATGTGGCGATGGTTAGAGCAGGAATGATAAGGAGCAGCAATGATCTTCTATATACCAAACTCAAACACTTACTTTTATGAAATTTAATTAATTGAACGACTACTCCAAGAAAAAAAAGTGAGAAAGAAAAGAGAATAGAAAAAAAAGTTCGGTGATCCTTTTATAAAAAAAGGTACTTTGTGGGCATATGATTGCCCTCCTAACTACCCAAGGTTCTTTACTTTTTTGTTTAGTATTAAGTTCCATAATAAGAGGTTGAACAATTTTATTTGAGTAACACAATGTACGCCAAAGCTTACATCAAATTAGCTGCAATCGTTGGATCATGGGTCACATCATTGGTCCAACTCCTGCAATTGATTTATTTTACGATGGAGCTAAGGTTGATGTATGGTCATGCGAAGTCATACTTTTAATTTTGAACGCCGGTTATTTACACCAAAACTTAAAATAAATTAATTGCAGTAGTTGAATCAGTGATGTGACCCACTAATCCAACGACTGCAATTGATTTGGTGTAAGTTTTGGTGCACCTTACATTGCTCGAATAAAATTGTTCAACCACTTATTATGGAACCTAATAATAAATAAAAAAAATAAAGAACGTTGGGTAGTTAGGAGAGTATGCATATGTCCACAAAGTACGTTTTTTTTATCAACCAAAACTTAAAATAAATCAATTCGTGTCAATTTGATTCATAAAATATATAATTCGTGTCATTTTAGTCTCACATAGACATACCGTTAAATTTTTTGACTAAGTGACCAAGTTTTTTTTTTTGACAAAAGTTAACATTGATGTAGGAGTGGGAAACAAGAAATCATGTACTGTAGCAATAGCTAAACTTCATGATGGATCAGTTCCAAGAAGTAAACTTGAGATTGTAACAGAAATAGACCCACTCATAACTGAAGCTCTAGCTGCAAGGCAAGCTGTGGAATGGGATCATGGCAAGTGATGGCCTTATGTGCTCATACAAAGTGAGTGACTCACAGACAGTTGTTCACTCTATCATATTCCCTCTCGTCAAACCTTACTAGTATGTGCTCTCAATTTTACAAGACATAAAAAAACATACTTGGACATAAAATAATGCAGTCCATAAATTAGCAAGATAGGGGTTTACTATGAGTTAGAGTGGTTCATTTCAATTGGACCAACTCCCTAATTCGACAAAAGCACAAGTGGAGGTGGATGCACACCTTTTTGTCCTGCCTCTTTAATTTACAGCATAAATATTTGTCCGTTACAGACAAAAATTGCAGACATGACATGCAACATCACAAGAATAAACAACAACGTAAGGTCTTTTCAAAAAAAAAAATACATAAAGGTACACTTTCTGCGTGGTGTGGGCCGTGTGGACCAAACATATCAGACCCATTCACAATCAGTGACTGAGCCCAAAAGGCCATTCACTTTAACCACCGGCGACCTGCCTCTCCGGTTGATAAACCAAGCCACTTAGCTGTGGCCACAACTTCTCTTTCCATATTTCACTGCTGCTGGGTCCAACACCAACACCACACTCTCGCCTCTTAATCTCCACCACAACCAGCTTCTCCGTTAACCGGTGAATCTCCACCACCCCAACAAAGTTACCACTCTGACCCTCAAACCTCAACCCGCCATAATCTTCATTTCTTGTCACTTTCATCCCCTCCTCTTCTTTCATAACTTCCTCAATTCTACCAATAATTCTCTCCGGTGACTCCGCCGATACGAACCGTTCACTACTAACCGAAACACCGGGAAGATTGAACAACCCAGACAAATCAACCCCAGACGAGAATGAGATGATATTAAAAGCGTTCAACTGCTTGTTATCACTACTATCAGCACAATCCTTGAACTCAAAATCAGGGTCAATTTGAAACTGAATTTCCTTGTAACCTTTTCGGAACCACGGATCATTAGTAATTTCATCCACAGTGATTCGGGACTCCGGATTCGTATCAAGTAATCGATACAAAAATCTCTTCAACTCAGGAGAGGTCCATTTGGGGCAACGAAACTCGCCTTTGTAGATTTTTCTGTACATGACCATGAGGTTTTGGTCGTTAAATGGTAAGTAACCGGCGTTCAAAACGAAAAGAATGACTCCGCACGACCATACATCAACCTTAGCTCCATCGTAACCTTTCTTCGTGAGAATTTCCGGAGCCACATAAGCTGGTGTACCGCAGAGGGTGTGAAGGAGCCCGTCAGGTCGGACCTGGTCCGTCAAGGCGCTGAGTCCAAAATCGGTGACTTTTAAATCCCAATTTTCGTCTAATAATAAATTCTCCGGCTTGAGATCTCGGTGGAAAACGCCGCGAGAGTGGCAATACCCGACGGCGGAAATCAATTGCTGGAAATATCGACGGCTGAGATCTTCGCTGAATCGCCCTTTGGCGACTTTAGCGAAAAGCTCGCCTCCCTTTGCGAACTCCATGACGAAGTAGATCTTTGTCTTGGTAGCAAGAACTTCATGGAGGCGCACGATGTGAGGGTGGCACAGCCGTCGCATGATGGAGATCTCGCGCTTAATGTGCGCCGTGAACCCTCCTTTCAGGACCTTTTGCTTGCTAACTGCTTTGATCGCCACGCTCTGTCCCGTACGTACGTTCCTAGCATGGTACACCTTCGCGAAGGCTCCGTATCCAAGGAGCTTACCAAGCTCGTACTTTCCCAACAGGTTGACCTCCGGAGGAGATTCTCCGACGCTGGTTGATACCGGTGGCAATACATCGCCGGTGCCATCGACAATCTCTGGCATAACTTGGTCCAACCAAAATATGTAGTCAGAATTTTCAATTTCTTGGAATGGTACAAGAAAAATATTTATGTAACCGCTACAACAAATTGGGAAAAGTGAAGATTATTTGACGCGTGCACAGAGAGAGAAAGAGAGAATAAGAAGCAGAAGATCGGAGGAGGGGAGGGTAGTTTTCTGGCTCTGAATGGACGATGAGAGACAGAGAGAGAGAGTTCTATTTGTTGTAGAACATGGAAAATTTATTCTTTCAGGGTGCTATACGTTAATTGACATTCTTTTGGGACAGGTTCCTTTGAAGCAAGCAGCAATGTGAACATATTTTATTCCGTTCGTTTGTTTAAGATGATAATTTCAACACGTTATATTTAAAAGTACAAATTTTACTTGTTCTCCTTATCTTATACTTTAAAGATACTTTATCTTTTTAAAATTTAAAATATTCATATAATTCTCACATACTTTGTAAAGTAAATTATAATCCAAATAACTTTCACATGTTTTGCGGAATAAATTGGAATCCTAATTATGTTAACAAAAAAAATAAAGGGTTAATTACAAATTATATCCCAAAAAATCATTCGAATATTAATTTGTACCCTCAAAAATCAAAAATTTTAACTTATACCCTAATATATAAAATTTTGTATCAATGTGTACCTCCAAAGATAAAAAACCTCAATTTGCAATCTCAAAGATAAAAATTTATATTAATGTGCATGTAAAACTAATCGCCGTCAGTTTACTGCCTAAAATTAAATTGATAAAATTATNGATGGCACAGCCGTCGCATGATGGAGATCTCGCGCTTAATGTGCGCCGTGAACCCTCCTTTCAGAACCTTTTGCTTGCTAACTGCCTTGATCGCCACGCTCTGTCCCGTACGTACGTTCCTAGCATGGTACACCTTCGCGAAGGCTCCGTATCCAAGGAGCTTACCAAGCTCGTACTTTCCCAACAGGTTGACCTCCGGAGGAGATTCTCCGACGCTGGTTGATACCGGTGGCAATACATCGCCGGTGCCATCGACAATCTCTGGCATAACTTGGTCCAACCAAAATATGTTGTCAGAATTTTCAATTTCTTGGAATGGTACAAGAAAAATATTTATGTAACCGCTACAACAAATTGGGAAAAGTGAAGATTATTTGACGCGTGCACAGAGAGAGAAAGAGAGAATAAGAAGCAGAAGATCGGAGGAGGGGAGGGTAGTTTTCTGGCTCTGAATGGACGATGAGAGACAGAGAGAGAGAGTTCTATTTGTTGTAGAACATGGAAAATTTATTCTTTCAGGGTGCTATACGTTAATTGACATTCTTTTGGGACAGGTTCCTTTGAAGCAAGCAGCAATGTGAACATATTTTATTCCGTTCGTTTGTTTAAGATGATAATTTCAACACGTTATATTTAAAAGTACAAATTTTACTTGTTCTCCTTATCTTATACTTTAAAGATACTTTATCTTTTTAAAATTTAAAATATTCATATAATTCTCACATACTTTGTAAAGTAAATTATAATCCAAATAACTTTCACATGTTTTGCGGAATAAATTGGAATCCTAATTATGTTAACAAAAAAAATAAAGGGTTAATTACAAATTATATCCCAAAAAATCATTCGAATATTAATTTGTACCCTCAAAAATCAAAAATTTTAACTTATACCCTAATATATAAAATTTTGTATCAATGTGTACCTCCAAAGATAAAAAACCTCAATTTGCAATCTCAAAGATAAAAATTTATATTAATGTGCATGTAAAACTAATCGCCGTCAGTTTACTGCCTAAAATTAAATTGATAAAATTATACTTAAATTTCTTTATACTTGTCACTTAATCATTTGAACTCCTTCACATTTAAAATAGTACTCATATATCTCATAACGTTTGTCCACGTGTAATACGTAACTATTTTTCGTTGATATCTGTTAATATATCCGTTAAAAAATATGATTTTATCTTAATAAAAAATTATAATTTTATATTATCCTTTATTTTGTGAGTCCAATATACTCTAAAGTTCAAAATCAAACTTACCATTTGAATGTCCAATATAATGTAAGTGTTTATATAATATTTTTTATATGCAATGTACTATATCATTTAATCATAATTATTTGAATGTCCAATTGGAGGGATATTTTAAATTGAGAGTATTTTATATGATTTTATACTAATAAGAAATTATAATTTCATATTACCCTTTATTTTGTGAATGAGTTTAAATGATTAAGTGATAAACAAGAAGAGATCTAGTTATAATTTATCAATTTAATTTTAGACAGTAAATTGACGACAGTTAGTTTTAGGTGCATATTGATATAAATTTTTATTTTTGAGGATACAAATTAAGAATTTTGATCTTTAGAGTTGTAAATTAAGATTCGAACGCTTTTGGGGTGTAATTTTCAATTAACCCAATAATAAAATGGCCTTAATACCCTTCCCAATCTCTCTACAAAAACATATCAATCCCCTTATTCTCAAACAAACATGTCAATTTCGAAGACTCAAACTTGCAAATTAAAGGAAAAAAAACAAAAAAGAGACAACGGAAATTGAATTCACTCCAAAAGCTAAACATAGAAAATCAACAAAAAAATTGAATCAACACCTACACAACACCTTCGCTGCCGGTAGCAGGTAGTAAACTACCACTGTCCAAATGCTTCCATGTCTGCGAACAAATCTCCCCCACTGCAACTCAAATATAGTGAGGCTACGTGAGTGGAGTTTGTCCATAAAATATGTGAGGGTCATATGACATTTTTAAATTCAAATATATTTGGAATATAACATAAGGAGTTGAAGTGAAGTTTGTCCAATTTAAAATAGGAAAAATTTTATTTTGTCCCCTAAAAGATATAAAAAATTTCAATTTATCTTATGAATGATTAATTTTTCTATATTACCCTCTTAAATAAATAAAAATGTTATAATATGGTCCAAAAATGTTGCAACTTGCTTCCAAAAATGTTGTAATAAAAACGTTTTTAGATCACAATGCAACATGTTTATTTCTTTAATGGCTAATGTGAAAAATTAATCATTTAAAGGATAAACTAAAAATTTTTGTATCTTTTAAGATTTTCTCTTTAAAATAAGGACATGAACCATCCACGTGTCCACATAACTTGGGGAAATGGCCCGTTGAAGCTTTCTCGTTAAAGTTAGGGTTTTTTTCCTTTTTTTTTGTCTATCAGTGTTGTCCGACTTAATTTATACTCATCTTAACTAATTTTTTTCTCAGTTCAATTAAAAGTAGATCATCTACATTAGAACTAAGGTATTCATTAGAAATAAATCTTTTATAACTTGATCCCAAAGAATTGTACGTCTAAATTTACAATTCGATGCTATTATCACTTGAATTACCTTTAAAAAGATAAATTAAAAAAAAAATCAAAGATCCAAAATTATTTTAAAATATGTTATAAAAGAAATTTGACACCATATTACTATCCATAAACTTTATGAAAGTTAGTTTTTGTAGTTCTAGGTTGCTGTCAAAAATTAATGGGTCTTTGATCAAATGATGCTCCTTATCTTATAAAAATTTTGTCTTTTTTAGATTAAGAGTTCAAATCTCCCTCTCCTTCCGCTTTCCCTCCCAAAAAACAAAAAAGAGAGGTTNATATCACAATACAACATGTTTATTTCTTTAATGGCTAATGTGAAAAATTAATCATTTAAAGGATAAACTAAAAAATTTTGTATCTTTTAAGATTTTCTCTTTAAAATAAGGACATGAACCATCCACGTGTCCACATAACTTGGGAAAATGGCCCGTTGAAGCTTTCTCGTTAAAGTTAGGGTTTTTTTCGTTTTTTTTTTGTCTATCAGTGTTGTCCGACTTAATTTATTTCTCAGTTCAATTAAAAATAGATCATCTACATTAGAACTAAAGTATTCATTAGAAATAAATCTTTTATAACTTGATCCCAAAGAATTGTACGTCTAAATTTACAATTCGATGCTATTATCACTTGAATTACCTTTAAAAAGATAAATTAAAAAAAAAATCAAAGATCCAAAATTATTTTAAAATATGTTATAAAAGAAATTTGACACCATATTACTATCCATAAATTTTATGAAAGTTAGTTTTCGTAGTTCTAGGTTGCTGTCAAAAATTAATGGGTCTTTGATCAAATGATGCTCTTTATCTTATAAAAATTTTGTTTTTTTTAGATTAAAAGTTCAAATCTCCCTCTCCTTCCGCTTTCCCTCCCAAAAAACAAAAAAGAGAGGTTGCTGCCAAAAACCCCTGCTTGTTCTAGATACGTCGAGGTTAAGAAAAACAAATGAATGGACATGGTCAATGCCGGACTTTCTAGCAAATTCAAGCATGTTTTTTGGTTATGATTGCTTACTAAAGTTGGGTTTGGGGTGGGCCGTGGGGGTGGGGTTTTGAAGCTGAAAAATCAACAAGTTGAGGATATGGATGAACTAGCTCTAGGATGTTGAAAATTATTGCAAATGGGTGTGGATGCCCATTGCCCATTACTTCATCAAATGACTTGTCCTTCATTTTTTTTACGGACAGTGCTGAAATTTATCAATAATAAAAAGACCTAAAAGTGTGGAATCAAATGGGACTGAATGAAATATATATATAATTGTTCGTGCTTGAAGTCAATAATATAATAAATAAAAAATTTGTAAATAATTACACATGCCTACAGATATATTATAATTTTTAAAAATCACCTATAAATATGCACCTACTATTTAAATATGGACATATGCATGTGCCTAAAAATACTATGTACCAAAAAAAAATAGTCAATTCATATTCAAAAGCGTTAGAATCTGTTGGAAAAAAATTTAACCCTCATAAGAGTCAAGCCGTATACACAATTCACAATCATATCCCAAAAAAAAAAAGCTATTAAACTGGACTCACCATCACGCTATAATTCTATCTAAACATAAATATATATCAACTACCGTAACAAAACGGATGAAATCAAAAAAAAATACATGAATAAATTCCAAGTCATGCCACAAATAAAAAACAACATGATCAAATGAATGAATTTGCACCCACATTCACGAACAATTTTAAACCTTCTATTTCGTCTCAATTTTATCACTAATTGAACTAATTCAAGAACAAAAATAAAAAACTTAGGAATAAAATATAACATGAGTGGAGCCAATAAATTAGTTATGTAAACTTTTTCTATTCTCTTTGTATATCTTACCAAATCTACAAAAATCGGGATTTAGCTCTACAAAAAAAAAAACTGAGCATAAACAACAATATGCAACCAAAGAAGCAATAGAAAAAGACGACAAAAAGAAAGACAGAATTAAGGAAGAAATGAAAATGAATAATATACATTGTCATAATTGTGTGGATTCACTTTTAGCTTCAACATGTTAATCACTTTCGACTACCAATAGTTTTAACTTTGAACATGCATAAGTCATACTGATGCATGTTTTTATAGTAGTAGGATTATGGTAGTAAGATAAACACATTTTTATAGTAGTAGGATTATGGTAGTAAGATAAACACATTTCATGGATTTCACTGGCAAACACACAAATAAAGAGAATACAATGATGCTATAGGGCCTTAAAATTTCCTACAAAAAAAAAAAGCCAAAAAAGAATGAACTATCCAATTTCGACATTGACCAATTAAGGCATAAAGAATAGTCTAGCATAGGATCATCACCACAATTCCAAAAAAAAAAAAAAGTAAAAAAAGAGGGACCACTAATATGTAACTTAAAGAATATTTAACCAGAGAGAAAAGGGAGGGAGCTTACTTTGCTCATTACCGCCTTGAAGCTCCTTTGTTATATTGGCTATTGGAGTGTTGCAAAGATTTCTCTGTTTGGTGCCTATAATCAACATTTTTTCTACTAAGCTTTTAGAAAATTCGTCAAATCCAACCAGTTGAGCTACCTTTTAAGAATGCTTTGGTATGTTTATTTTTTGAGTGCTCTGTTTTGCACGAAACTCTTATTCTCTAGCTTAGATTATGGGTTTCCAAACAAGACATCAAGGTAATGGAGTATACATTT